CTATGCGAGCTCGAAACGTGCCAGGCGGTCTTGTTGCCGATTACTCCGGGCGCGCTTGAAGGTGTCCGGGTCTTTAATCACCGAACTGGTGGATTGCCTTAAGAGGCTGCTTTGGGTTTCTGCTGCGAGGGCCGCAGTGTGCTCCTCCGTGCGGAGAGAGCACTCTGTGTTTCCAATGACTGTGATGACCCCTCGAGGTCCTGGCATCTTGAGCTTGATATATGCATAGTGCGGTACCGCATTGAATCTCGCAAGCAAATGCGGTTCGCCCGAGCAGTGCATGGTAGCCACTGCGGAACGGGACTATATCGAAGATTAACTCCTCGCTTCGGAAGTTATCCGGGGATCCGAAGACCACTTCCAGTGTGACTGAGCGTGTGCAATGGGCCTCTACACCTGGTATGACGCCTTTGAAGGTCGTTTTTGTGGGTTTGATCCTTGAGGGATCTATGCCCATTTTGCGCACTATGTCCTGATAAAGCGGGTTCAGGCTGCTGCCACCGTCCATAAGGACTCGAGTGAGGTGAAATCCGTCAATGATTGGGTCTAGGACCAGTGCGGCGAATCCGCCATGACGGATACTAGTGGGGTGGTCCCTGCGATCGAAGGTGATCGGACAGGAGGACCATGGGTTGAACTTTGGGGCGACTGGCTCCAAAGCGTATACGTCCCTTAGCACACGCTTCCGCTCCCTCTTGGGGATGTGGGTTGCGTATATCATGTTCACCGTCTGCACTTGTGGGGGGAACCTCTTCTGTCCTCCGATGTTCGGCTGCCGGGGCTCCCCCTCGTCATCGCTATGTGACCCCTTATCTTTGTTTTCGGCATTTAACTTGCCGGCCTGCTTGAATACCCAACAATCCCTGTTGGTGTGGTTAGCTGGCTTGTCGGGGGTGCCGTGTATTTGACACGAGCGATCGAGTATACGGTCCAAACTGGACGGGCCCGGAGTGCTTCTTTTGAATGGCTTTTTCTGCTGACCGGGTTTAGAGCCTTTGAATCCGGCATTGACTGTCGTATTCTCGATATTGTCGCTGTTGATGCGGCGCTTGTGTTTGTTGCGACGTGACCTGCCATTGCCATCCTTAGTATCCAAAGTACCATGGTTCTTTGATATATATTATTGCTGCGAGCCAGCCAGCTGTCTTCTCCCGCGCAAAAGCGGGTCATGAGTGTCGTGAGGGCTGCCATAGATTTCGGCTTTTCCTGGCCAAGGTGCCGCACGAGCCACTCGTCGCGGATGTTGTGCTTAAAAGCTGCTAGGGCCTCTGCATCCGAATAGTCGACGATTTGATTTTTCTTTGTCAGGAACCGTGTCCAGAATTGCCTGGCCAATTCCTCTGACAGCTGAATTATGTGGCTCAAGTCATCGGCATCTGGTGGTCACACATAAGTACCCTGAAAGTTGTCGAGGAATGCGGCTTCCAGATCTTCCCAACAGCCAATGGATTCTGCTGGCAGGCTGTTGAGTCAATGTCGAGCTGGTCCTTTGAGTTTAAGTGGGAGGTATTTGATGGCGTGTAGATCGTCACCGTGGGCCATGTGGATGTGCATGAGGAAGTCCTCGATCCATATTGCAGGATCTGTTGTGTCGTCGTATGATTCGATATTTACGGGTTTGAAACCCTCTGGGATCTGGTGATCCATTACTTTGTCTGTGAAGCATAGAGGGTGTGCGGCGCCTCTGTACTGGGCTATGTCGCGACGCAGCTCAAATGAGTCTTGTCCGCTGTGTTCGGCCCAGCCGGATTTACTTTTACTGTATCCGGCGTGACGGTTATCGTCTCGCAAGGTGGCGCGCCCTCGTGATCCGTAGATCGATATTGCGTGTTTTGCTTTGTCCTCCAATACGTCTCGCAGGTCTCGCGTATTTCCCCATGCCTTCACATTTTTATTTGAATGGCGTCGGGGTGCGGGCTGAGCTTTTGGCTGAAATGCCTCTCTGTCGCGGCCACAGGGTGGCCGATCAGCCGCGTCATACGCTGGAGATGTAGGTTTTCGTGCTTCCTCCTCCAGTCGGGGTAGCAACCTGCACTTTGGGTAACTCTTGGAGGGGTATTCGAGTTTATATTCCTCGGCCGCAAGGACTTCAGTCCATCTGTCCGCTAGCAAATCTTGATCAGATTGAAGCTGTTGTTGCTTTTTTTAAGGCTATTTGCCGTGGCTATAAGCCGGCGCTTAAAGCACTCTTGTTCGACGGGATACTCAGGCACGACGAATTCGTCGTCGTCTAGGCTTGCCTCGTCTTCGGAGGGAGGCATGTAATTATCATCCTCCGCCTCTCCATCTGCCGCTCTCTCAGGAGGGCTAGCTTCTCCATCCTCCTGCTCTACATCTTGCTGGAGGGGATTGTTGTTATCTTCGGCACTGTCCGGAGTGCTATTATCTCCTGTGCCGGTATCACCGATTTTGCCTTGGCGGGACTTAGAGCGGCGCCGCTGACGCCGGCGCTTAGGTTGCTTCTTGGAGGGGTCATCCTCCGCTGTCTCGTCGTCATTACCTTCTTTGGGTGTGTCCACCATATATATGTCATATGATGAGGTGGCTGTCCAGTGCCCTGTGGGCAGTGGTTCTTGTTCGTCTCCTGCATCATCGTCCATGCCGTCGATGTCTTCGGAATCGAAGTCGAGCATGTCGGTCAAGTCGTCGACAGTGGCTACTAAGTGGCTGGTGGGTGGGCGGCGAATTTCTTCGTCATCCGCATCCCAATCCTGTCGGACATAGTTCGGCCAGGACTCTCCTGGCAAGAAAAGAGACCTTAATGAGTTCAGTATGTCGTCAAAGGGCGAGTGCTGAAAAATATCCACGGAGGTAAACTCCATGATCGGCGCCCAGTCGGATTCGATAGGCATGGGCGCAGGCAGTTCGGAGTCCATAGCCGGGGAAGGATCCGACAGCTTGGCATCACGGCTCTCGTGAAGGGTAAGGTCGATACTCGGCTCGATCGCCGCTGAGAATATGGCCTCCGTGGCGGGGTCTATCCACCCGTCCATGGATGGCGTAATTGGCTCCGAATAGAGGGTCGGAGCGGTTGCCGGTGCGATCTCCTGAACACTGTCCGATGGTAGAGCTAGATCGTGCTCATCGTGACTGTGTGGCGCATTCAGCAGGGGCTCGAATCCGTTGAAGATCAAGTCTCCGCGGATATCGGCTGTGTAGTTTAAGCTTCCAAACCTGACCTGGTGGCCAGGGGCGTAACTTTTGATCTGCTCCAGATGGCCAAGCGAGTTGGACCACAGTGCGAAGCCGCCGAATACAAAGATCTGTCCGGGGAGAAAAGTCTCACCCTGAACTGCATCGCTATCGATGATTGAAGGAGCCATCAAGCCTAATGATGACGACACAGAGGAACTCCCAATGAAAGCACCAATGTCGGTGTCAAAACTGGCGGATCTCGGGTAGGGGGTCCCGAACTGTGCGTCTAAGGCGGATGGTAACAGGAGGCAGGGGACACGATGTTTTACCCAGTTTCGGGCCCTCTTGATGGAGGTAAAACCCTACGTCCTGCTTGATTTATTCTTGATAATATGAGTAGTACAAGAGTTGATCTACCACGAGATTGGAGAGGCTAAACCCTAGAAGCTAGCCTATGGTATAATTATATGTTGTCCTACGGACTAAAACCCTCCGGTTTACACAAGGTCGGTTACAAAGGAGGAGATATACATATCCATAGTGCCTAGCGTGCCTTCCACGCCAATTAGAGTCACATCCGGACACGGGTCGAAGTCTTCAATCTCGTATCTTCATAGTCCAACAGTCCGGCCAAAGGATATAGTCCGGCTGTCCGGAGACCCCCTAATCCAGGACTCCCTCGGAGGCGCTCTACATGCTAGGGTTAAACCCTGGCCAGCATGGCCTCGTCAACGCCGTCGTTGCCGCGGCCAGCACTGGCTCATCGGCGTCTTCTCGATGGTGACCGGGGTGGAGATCATGAAGGTGGATCTCAACACCGTGTCACCAAGGAAGAGGCCATGGTTCAAGAAGATGCAGGCCGACACGCTCAAGTTCACCGACGAGTGATCCCGTGGTCGCGAGTGCCTTCCTTTTTGTATGCCGGCTTGTGTGCTGGCATAACCACGGGGCCGCGATGGCGTGGTCGAACCCATGTCCCACCCTTTTTGTGTACTGGCATGTGTGTCGGCCGGCTGGCGAGTGCGCCAACATGACATGTGTGTCGGCCGGCTGGCGAGTGCGCCAACACGAACTATGGTGATATTTTTTGAAGCCGGCATTGTATGCTGGCGCTGGCATGGTGCCGGCATGAGTCATGGCCGCTGGCATGATCGGTCGCAGGTCTTTTTTTAAGTTGAGTGCGGATATGAAATGAGTCGGCGTGTTGAGCGCACTGCTGATCCAAACTTCGTTATATCTCAGTCGAAGCTATATTCATTAGATCATGCATTGAGATCCGTGCAAAATTTTCTTTTCAGATTTTTCTTTTTATATGATACTCCCTTCGTATGAAAATACTTGTCATCAATCAAAATGAATAAAAAGAAATGTATTTAAATATATTTTAATTATAGATACATTTCTCTTTATCCATTTTGATAATAAATATTTTCGGATGAAAGAAGTATGTCAGTTGATTGAAACTTTGTTAAATCTCAGTCGAGAATATCGGAAAGCCACGCCATATCGGAAATATCCGATCGTTTGCCACGAGAATAACCCAGTCGTACGCACGCGCCTCCTGCAGCTCTCGTACAGCTCCCTCGGACGCAAGCGCAACGCCACAGTTTGGCACGTACAGACGCGGCTGGTCAGGTCACGTCCATCCGCCCACGTGAACCCGCTGTGCCGATGCTTGATGCTCCGTGTCACCCCGTCCCCGGCCAGGCACCTGAAAAGCGGGCAGCGAGCGCCTGCGCCCCCGTCCTCGGCATGGCCCCCGCCGCCCGTCCTCTCGCCGCGCCGCGCCTCGTCAAATGCTCCTCCGGTCCGTGACTCGCAGCAGCAGCAGCAACCACTAGCGCGGGCTACAACGCGCAGGGTGCATGGCGACGGCGATGGCTCTGCTCCGCCTCGCGGTCCTCGCCGGCGCCGTCGCGCTCCTCCTGCCGGCCGTCGCCGAGGCCCGCATCCTCCTCTCGCTCGACGACTTCGGCGCCGTCGGCGACGGCATCGCCGACGACACGCAGGTACGTACGTGCGTGCATGCGACAGTATGCCTCCACCTTGCTCCTCAAACATGACACTGTCTGTTTGGCTCTGCTGTCCAGGCCCTGGTGGACGCATGGACGGCGGCCTGCGCCAGCACCAACGGCCACGTGGTCATCCACGTGCCCGCCGGCAGGTCGTACCAGATCTGGCCGGTGACGCTCGCCGGGCCCTGCAGGGACGAGATCATGATCTTCGTACGCTCCTTCCTTCCTGCCTGCCTGCCGCCGCGTGCGCTTCTCTCGTCCGGCATGCACGCACCTGCGCGTCTTCGCTCATCGAGTCTTGGTTTGTGCCCCTGCCCGGTGGGACAGGTCTCCGGGAACATCATCGCGCCGGACAGCCCGGAGGACTGGGAGCGGCGCGACGGCGGCAAGTGGCTGCACTTCTTCCAGGTGCAGGACCTGACGGTGAGCGGCGGCGGCGTCATCGACGGCCGCGGGCAGGAGTGGTGGGCGCAGGCCTGCAAGGGGAGGCACCGCAACGACAAGGTATGATTTGTTTCATCACTGTATGATTGTGCGCATCACTATCACACAACTGAGGACTGATTTGTTTTACTCCGATTGTTTCTCTGCAGCATTGCACAGCCCCGGATGCTCCCAAGGTGAACTCCTCTGTCACCTTCACTTTGATGTTTGCTCATCATTTCCCTGCCATTTTTCCATCTACCTCGTTTCATGTTTGAAGAAAAATGGCTCGTGTTCTCTGCATGCACGCAGGCGCTTCACTTCGAGGAGTGTCATGGGGTGCGGGTGCAGGGCGTGACGCTGCAGAACGGGCAGCAGCACCACCTGACCTTCACCCGCTGCTCCAACGCCAGGGCCAGCTTCCTCAGGGTGGCCTCGCCGGAGAGCAGCCCGGGCACCGACGGCATCCACCTCGTCAACTCCATCAGCGTCCACGTCAACGATGTCCACATCGCCACAGGTGTGTGTTCGATCCGTCAATGGCAGTCTGCATCTGAAGAAGAAAGGGGTTTCCTTCCTCAGTTACAGTGCTCCTGGCTAACTGAATCTCTTATTTTCAGGCGGCGCTTGCGTGTCCATGGTCGGCAATTGCACCGACGTCCGCCTCAGATACGTCTCCTGCGGACCTGGCAATGGCATCAGGTAGCTTCTTAGCTGCCTCATCAGCTACTCCGTTGGTAAATGCTTGTCTGCTCATTGCTCATGTGTTGGATCTGTCAGTATTGGGAGCATAGGCGAGACCCCGGTGGCTGACAGGCTCGAAAAGATCGAGGTGGACACCATGTTCATCGCCAACACCTCCAACGGCCTCCTCATCAAGACCTGGCAGGTAGTAAGATCGATCTAGCAGTAGCTCATCATGAACTACTGCAAGGAGCTCATCATGAACTTGTATTGTCTCCATCAGGATGGCTGCGGCTACGCGCGCAAGGTGAAGTTCGCCAACGTGGTGATGAAGAACGTCTCCGACCCCATCATCATCGACCAGTACCGCTCCGAGCACCCCACACCCTGCGGATCGACCGCGGTACGATCTCCGCTTGCCGGACTAACAAACACGCCGATCGATGCCTGAAACTCTGGTCTGCTTCTTGTTCTTGGGCGCATGCATGCAGGCGACGAGGACGGTGGCGGTGGAGAAGATCGACTACGTGAACATCGCCGGCACGTCGGCGTCGAAGCGGGCGGTGACCTTCTCGTGCAGCGACGTCGTGCCGTGCAGGCAGGTGTCGCTCAAGGACGTGAACCTGAAGCGCCTCAGCGGCCGCGGCGCCTCCGCCTACTGCCGCAGCGCGTCCGGGAAGGCCGCCGGCGTCGTCGTCCCGGAGTCCTGCCTCGACGGAACCAGGGGGGCCGCTGGCGACGAGGAGGAGTGAGCCGTGAGGTCTCGGCCGGGTTCTTGGTCTCGGCTGTGATGCTCCGGCATGCAGAGAGTGGCGGCAGTAGTGCCATGATATGGTAGTACCTAGTAGAGTAGCCGGCAGTTCTACGAATAATCCCGCCATGTATTGTGCCAGTATTATATTGTGATGTACTGTACTCCCGTACCGCCGTACGTATTCGGGCGTGTTGTATTTTCCTGTACGTACAAAAAATGTGCTCGTAGCAATTTTCGTCCGCACCGATCGGCACATACCTCGTCGTAGAATGTTGCTAACTGACCCGCGGATGCGGCGGTCAAAGCCAAGGCAACCCGGATGGCGAAGGAGCAGCAGCGTGTGGTCCGTCCACCGGCCGGCATCATCTCCTTTGACGACAGCTCCGACTCCGACGACTCCGCCTCTCTCGTCGCCGACGCCTACATGGAAAGCTACAGCCGCACCGGCGACCGCAAAGGCAAGGAACCGGCACGGAAGTGGTGATGATGATGAACTGGGAAAGATAGTTTAGTTTAGTTTTTAATAACTATGTTAACGACGATGAACTGGGACTTTGGGTCCGATGGACTGTGTTTATATGTTCGTATGTTATTTCGTTTTAACTGTGTTGTTCATCAGTTCATCTGTAGCCGTATGATGATGAATAGAGACAGTTTCTTACGAACATTGCATGGATAGCTTTGAGGGATGACCGGTCACTGTCCGCAGCCTTCGAAGAATCATGTTGTGGACGTGGCCATATGAGGGTGACCAGTCATTATCCATGGATATGGCCGGGCCTTTCCATGGATGTATAGTAGGATGAATTTGGTATATCCGGTTATAGATGTTCTAAGACCATTGGCCTTGCCAAAAAAACTGCTTCTGGGCCTTTTGGAAAAAAAAAACTTCAACGGATGCCCTATAGTGCCTAATTTAATATCTTTTTGCAAATGCCCTAAATTTTGCCAGAAGTGATGTACCTTCCTTTCGGTTTATAGGGCTTATCTTAAAAGAACTGTTTTCCCATTTTATAAGTCACAATTTTATTGTGTCTCATCACATATTCAGATTTTTGAGGTGCATTAAATCGTTGCATGTAAGATTAAAAAGAAAACTCACGATGCACGTAAAAGCTCTTAGCCATTTATTAGTCACACATGCATGCATTGCAATTAATGCATTGGTTAATACAATTTTTTTAGGAAAACAACCGCATTAATTGAGTACTTTTACAAGCTACAAAATTACCGCATGCTTGGATCCAAGGGACTATTTTTAGTCTGACTAAAAATAGTCTCTTTTAGAGGCTAAAGTTCCAAGCACCCCTGACTAAAGAGAGGCTAGGACTAGTCTTGAGGCTAAAAAAATTTAGTCATAGGAAACCTACTAAAATATGTATTAGCCCTCTCTCTCCTCATTTAATGTCTCTCCTTTAACACATGCGAGTTCTGGATTAGAGGGTTTAGAGGATAATAAATGCTCAATAACTTGATTTTAGTCTCTTTAGTATTTGGATCCAAGCATGGGTGAGGCTAGCAAGTTTTAGTCCCACTACTTTTAGTCATGGGACTAAAACGTATCCAAGCACCCTCTTATGCTACCACTCACCATCTATGTTGGTGGGTGAGATTTCTCAATTGAGCCCTATAAATCGAAAGGGAGGGGTACATTTGTAGCAGCACTGACAACTGCCAAAAAGAAAAACGGTTGTATCAGGAACCCAACCGTTTGTGTGAACTTCCACGTCACCGCACCGCCTCACCCGCCTCTGCGCCGCCCGATTCCGACCATCGGTCACTGCCGCCGCCACTCTGTCGGTCACCATGAACTTTGTTGCCACTCGCAGCCCCACCCCGCCCATCAGCAACCTCCTTCGGAACAAGAGCAATTGGAGCAGGAGCAGGAGCAGTAACATCAACAATTGGACCAGGAGCAGGAAAAACATTGGAGGTGGCTCTACATACCAAACAGGTCTCCTATAACAATGCAAAGCAATCATATGCAATGGTTGGTCTTCTTTAAGCATCTTTTGGATCGTAGCATCATTTGTTAGTTCAACCATGGTCATCCTCCCACTTGACCAAACCTTTGAGAAAAAAATGTATTTCTGCATAACCCCCACTCCAACAATTGTTCCTTCAAGCTATCATAGGTAATTGAGTCCCTAAGTCATGCCTCGGGTTGTAATGTTGAGAAGCACTTTTTCCGTGCACAGTGAACCTAAGCAGCCACATGCTTTCAATCCGAAACAGACAAAATCAAGAACAATTTAGTGCAAATGTAACTGATTTTTATCTATAACTGAACTTTGACACATATTACTAAATTTTTATGACACTTGTAACTGAACTTTGACACGTAGAACTGATTTATTATGACACCTATAACTGAACTTTGACCCGAATAAGAACTTTTACTGCTAAAACCCTATATTCTCTTTGATCTCTTCTAAATTCTTCTCGTTTAGCCCAATCGTCACTAGACTCACATAAATCCATCAAAACCCTATCTTCATCTCTTCACCGAGCCTCTTCTATGCTAAAACCATAAACCCTAACTTTGACCTCTCTTAAATACTTCTCTTTTATGCAAAGATGCATTAAACACATATCTAATCCAATAGAAAACACAAGAATAAATCATCAAAGACCTATCTTTTTCGAAGATTTAACATCTTTAGAAAAAACACATATCTAAGGAAGAGTAGTACATCCGCAGAAAACCCTTCTAACCAACACTGCCCTATCCACAACAGCAGACCGGAGAAGCAAACAAACCAAGAAGTAAGAGAGTAAAGAAGATGGATCAACGAGCACTGCCATCGTTTTTGTCCTCCATAATAGAGCACTGCATATATCTTCTGACAGAGGAGATGGAGAAGAAGGAGCATAGCATACCATCTGGACGATGGCCCCGTTGACTCCTCCAGCGAGTGCTCCGTTGACTTGATCTCCTTGGTTGCAAAACACCATCGTGAAAGGAAAGAAAGCCCGGGGGGTGCGAGTGGAGCAATGAGTTGAAGAGGGAAAAGGGCGCAAAGAGAGCTGGTGGACGTGACGCGGGCGGGCATGATCACTGGCGGAGTTTAGTGCAAGCAAAACTGGGCGGGGGCCCGCCCAATTTTGCTGCAAACCAATGGGCCTTTAGGCAGAAATGGGCCATAGAGGAAAAAAACCTTGGGCTTTTTTCAAACTGGCCCGCCCAGTCATTCTGATGTAGCTCCGCTACTGCCGCATGGTACGGCTAGACCAGGTGCGCAGCTAGTGCGGCAACTGGTTTTGTCCGGGTCGGCCATTAACCAGTTCGACTCCAAAAAAAACAGGTCGAAAACAACACAAAATGGGGAAAGTTGCGGTATCGGTGTAAAATGTGGCAAGAATTTTTTGAAAAATGGGTAATATATGTCACAAAGATCAGTTTTTGGGGTAAAAAACAATAGAATTTACTCTAAAAATAAAGAGCACATTGCATGATTCGTGGATCATGATGCCCAAGTTGAGTATCCAGCTGCAAAAAATGAATGCCAAGATCGTCGATGCACAAAGTCAAACAGATCGCCGGGGAGAAGAAGCCCCGGCTGACCGTGTAGTGTACCAGCACGTGATTCAGGGCCGGGCTGATCGTCCGGCGATCGCAGGTGCAGCGGCGAGGGACGACCCCTCCCGCAGATCCGGATCTTGTTTCGTTCTGCACTCGACTCGATCGTGCAGCGCCGTGCTTGGCCTGGCCTTGGCGCCCACGTGTCCGTTCGTTCTCCCGCGCGCCCTGCCGTTGCCCCCCACTCACCCAACTCAACTCGCGCCAAATCAGCTTCCGTCACTGAGCAGCAGCAGCGTGACTGAGCTCGTGAGTGCGCGCGTGCAGCATGGCGCTCCCTGCAAGGCCAAGGGCGCGGCTCCTGCTCGCGGCAATCGCCGGCGCCGTCGCCCTCCTGCTGCCGGGCGCCGCCGAGGCCCGCGTCCTGCTCTCGCTCGACGACTTCGGCGCCGTCGGGGACGGCATTGCCAACGACACGCAGGTGCGCAGCAATGTCGCCAGAGCCATCTCCGGCGGCACGGCCGCATTCCGTTGACTCTCCCTTTGTTTTCTCCAGGCATTCGTCGACGCGTGGGAGGCGGCGTGCGCCACCGGCGGCAACACCTACCTCAACGTCCCCGCCGGCAAGTCCTACCAGATCTGGCCCGTCACGCTCGCCGGCCCCTGCCGCGGCGAGATCAACCTCATGGTACACTTTTGTCCCCACTTCCTCTGTCACTGTCACAGTACACTCTAGCTAATTCGCGCCTCGTCAGATTTCCGGGAACATCATCGCGCCGGAGAGCCCGGAGGAGTGGGCGGACGGGGACCAGGGCCGGTGGCTCCACTTCTCCGGCGTGGGGGACCTGTCGCTCAGCGGCGGCGGCATCGTCGACGGCCGGGGCCAGCAGTGGTGGGCGGGGGCTTGCGAGGACGAGAACTGCACCTCGTACCGCCAGCACCAGGTCGCCCCCATGGCGCTCCACTTCGAGGACTGCCAGGACGTGAGCGTCAAGGGCCTCACGCTGCAGAACAGCCAGCGGCAGCACCTCGTCTTCACCCGCTGCTACAACGTCGAGGCCAACTACCTCCGGGTCACCTCGCCGGAGTACAGCCCCGGCACCGCCGGCGTCCTCGTCGTCAGCTCCACCAACGTCCACATCAAGGATGATCTCTTCTCCGTCGGTACGTCGCTCTGGTTCTGTATCTGAACTGAAATTTTCTCTGACAGGCGAACTCTGCTGGTGTTTATATTTTGAGTGTCATTTTCAGGTGGCGACTGCGTGTCGATTGTGGGCAATTGCTCGGATGTCCGGCTCAGAGCCATCTCCTGCGGGCCTGGCCTCGGCATCAGGTAATGTGTCATCTCTTTGCAAATACTAGAATTTTCACCTAATCTTAAGCTGAATGTGTCATCTTCTTCTTCGTCATGTCAGCATTGGGGGCTTGGGCGAGAACCAGAGTAATCACAAGATAGAGAAGATCAAGACGGACACCATGTTCATCTCCAACACCAAGAACGGCGTCCGCGTCAAGACCTACGAGGTAGTACAAAGCACAAACCAATAGCCAAAATTCTCATCCGAACCAAGAATGGCCGTGTGACATGGTGACATTTTTGTGTGATGTTCTTGGTCGTCATTCAGGACGGCTGCGGGTTCGCGCGCAAGGTGAAGTTCGCGCAGATCATGATGAGGAACGTGGCCAACCCCATCGTCATCGACCAGCACTACTCCGCCTCCAACCGGGGAACTCGCTGCGGCGCCCCGGTACGGCTGAGCTCGCCGGCCGTCTTGACTGAATCCGATGACGCGTTTCACTGCCTAGCAGCAGAACGCCGTGCACATCTCTGAACTTGTTTGGTATTGTGGTGCAGAACGGGAGCGCGGTGGCGGTGGAGAACATCAACTACATCGACATCACCGGCACGTCGGCGACGGAGCAGGCGGTGACGTTCGCGTGCAGCGACGCCATGCCGTGCAGGCGCCTGTATCTGGACGGGGTGAACCTGACGACGGCCGGCGGGGGCAGCACGTCCGCGTTCTGCCACCAGGCGTTCGGGAAGCACGTCGGGGACGTCCTCCCGGAGTCGTGCCTCGGCAAGGAGGACTTCGTGCAGCTGCAAGCCCCGACCGCCGGAGACGCTCAAGACGAAGAAGATGCTGCTGATTGGTGAACCTGTTCCTAGAATTTGATCTTGTAGTGCGAGCTTGTATGCAGTGTGTGTGGATTCATGAAATAAATCATTTTTTGTTTGAGATATAAATGAACATGCCTTCAAAGCCAAGCATAATTTCCAAGACAGGACAACAATATGATAATATCCACGAGTTGTCCACTTGTCCTACCAAAGGTAACACAACAGTATACTTCCTGCATCCACCAATAAGTGTACATCTAGCTTTTGTCCAAAGTTAAAGTTTTAAAATTTTGATCAAATTTATAGGAAAAAGTAGCAGCATTTATGGCACTAAATTACTATAACTGGATTTGTTTTGAAATGTAGTTTCATAATATACCAATTTGATGTCGTATATACTACTGCTCTTTTGGATAAATTTAGTCAAAAATTTCAAACTTTAACTTAAAACAAATAGTAGAAGTAAGGGAGTATTATCATAGTTTCACTGAAGAACTCAACAGCAGCACAACCACCTTGCGGAAAGTGACACGGAGTCAGCAGCGAGGCAAACAGCCAGCGCGAAATAAAGTCAATCCCCACCAGCCGGACAGCGATCAGCAGAGGTTAGACCAAAGCCACGCACCAGATTCAGATTTGGGAGCAAATATTTTTCAGAAAAGAAGGAGAATTCAGAGCTGCAGATGCAGATGAGATCTACTTGAAGGAGGAAGACCAGATCGAGACGAGATTGAGCAGCAGCAGCAGCAAGAAACATGGCGATGATGTCGCCGAAGCAGCTGCTGACCACCATCCTCATCGTCTTCTCCACGCTCTCCTTCATCAAGCTGCTGCTCCTCACCCACTCCGCATCGTCGTCGCCCGCGCGCCCCGGCCGCTCCGCCTGGGACGCCGGCGGGTCCGGCAACGACAACGGCACGGCCGCCAGGGACGGCCTGAACGCCAAGGAGTTCGCGCTGCTCCGCTCCGTCGTGGCCGCGCGCGCGCCGTGCGGGCTGCTCGTGTTCGGCCTCTCGCCGCAGCTCCTCGCGCTCGCCGCGGTCAACTCCGGGCAGGGCGCCGCCACCGCCTTCGTCACCGACAGCGCCGAGGACGCGGCCAGTGCGCGGCGCGTGCTCGCGGGGCGCGGCCCCGGCCCCGGCTCGGCGGCCGTCCACCGGGCCAGCTACCCCGACCCGGCCGGGGAGGCGTGGGCGCTGCTGCGGCGCGCGCGGGCGAGCCCGGTGTGCGGGCGGCCGACGGGGACGGTGCGCAAGTCCGGCTGCCGGCTGGCGCTGACCTCGCTGCCGCGGGAGGTGCTCGACGCGCGGTGGGACGT